TCCATATATGAGCTGGTGGGACACAGTGGATAGGTGAGGCTACCAGAGCCCATAAACCAGGGCCATGTGGCAGGAGATAGAATCTCCACTGAGGCATCTCAAAATGATGTTATACCTCCTCCTCCATCAAAAAAGTTTGACCTGTTTTCTTTTTTTTCAACCTGTTTTCTACAATGCTCAGAGGTATCACCATTTGCTTTTTCCTCCCTAAACTCGTCTTTTTTTTTTTTTAAAACAACAACAAAAAATTTTGGCTTGCCAAACACTAGGTAAAGTGACAGAACAAAATAATCATTCAGATGTAGACTTCAAAATCATGCTTTTTCCTCCCTAAACTCGTCTTTTTTTTTTTTTTTGAAAACAACGACAACAAAAAATTTTGGCTTGCCAAACACTAGGTAAAGTGACTAGAACAAAATAATCATTCAGATGTAGACTTCAAAATCATGCTTTTAATCCAATCAGATTAAAATCCAAGTCCTTCTGTAGCCCATAGAGTCTGACCACCCCCACTATCCTCTCTGATCTCATTTCCCACCACCATCATTCACTGACTACATTCCAGCCCCACTGGGATCCCTGCCTTCCCTGAATATCCAAAGTTACCCCCACCTCAGGGACTTTGCACTTACTGTTTCCTTTGTCTAAAGGTACTTTTCCCTGAAATCCACCTGATGTATTTTCATCTACTTACCTGTCTATTCATAAAGTCTGTATCTAAAAGAGTACTACCCCTATCTAAAATAGCACTACCACCCTTCACCATTCTCACACCCTTACCTTTATTTTTCTCATAGCACTTATCATTATCTAATACACTACATATTGATTTGCTGTTTTGTTTCTGGGAGGTCTCTGTTGACTAGAACACAGTCTCAATGAGAGCAGGGACCTTGTCTATTTTGGTCAATGTTGTATCTATAGAACCTAGTGCAGCGTTTGGCATAAAGTAAAAGTTTAATAAATACTTATTAGCCAAAATTTACAAATAGTTTAAATGCTGTCTTCCACAAATGACTAACCATTATAATTTGCTAGTTGTAGAAACAACAAAAGCATATTTCTAGTCACTATAGATCGCTTTTTTTGGCATGTCCTTCAACAGGAATACTTTTATTGTTTTGCATTTTGCCACAACCAAAGCTATTCATAGATATATTTAGGGTAGGGTAGATGTCATAATTTTTCCAGAACATGTCATTATAAAATAACAACATTATTATAATTTAGAGTAGTCATAATCTGTCAAGAGGCTCCTCCAAATGAAAAAATAAATACTTAGAATATATTACACATATTCTGTTTTAATCTTTTCAAAAGCAATCATCTAGATGAAGAAGTATAAAACATGCCTGGCTAATATGAGTGGAAGAAAACAGAGACAGAGAGTTACCACCTCTTTCTTGGACCAGTCTCTAACAAGACCTCTATCTACTTACAGTAGTGTAAGTGTCAATGTGTCATGTGAACAAGGCAAATCCAAAATGTTACATGGCCCTGTTTTTCCCGCTTTCAATTGTCAGGTTAATCATATCTTTAGATCACAGCAAGATTTACAAATAGACAGGATGGGAATTGATAACCAAGATTCAAGGAAAAACCATTATATGATACACACAACTGGCCTTTTGTTGGATGTCCATCCAATTATCATCAACCCATTAATTACTGAATGGAACAATGACAAGATTTTCAGATTAATTACATGTTGATAGTAGGTATATAATGTTTTATAGTAAAAGTCAAATCTCTCTAGAGTAACCTGCTACTTAAACCATTAAAACAACCAATGGTGAGAAACGAAGAAAGTAAAAAGATATTTGGGACTATGAGAATGATAATCATGGCAACTGGCAATCAAAATGTAACCATACATTTGAAATTGGAAAGCAGGACTGATTCTAGAAAAACAGCAGGTATTAATTCGGTTCAAAGAGAAATCTCCTCAGAGATTTCTCCACCCCTCTATCATCATCATCGTTTCAAGGAAAAACCTGAATTGCAGAATTAAAGAGGTTTGAAGAGTCTTCTAAACTTAACGAGTCTTTCACGTACTTAGGAGACGCAACCAGCATGCATGCTCAGTAGCTTCAGTCCTGTCTGACTCTTTGTGATCCCACGGACTAAAAGTAAACTTCTGTTACTCAACTTCTTAAGCATCTCTTTGGTATATTTTCTATACCTACTGCTTTTAATATGGAGTAATACATAATAATCAATTCTTTTAGAATAAAAATAAATAATCCTTGATTTCAGCAATGCTATTTCCACTTTTCCTTCCATAATTATTTTTATAAGACAGCTAAAACATTTTCTGAACTAAAGTGGCAGTGGCAGAATTATTTAGTGGTTCTCTGCATGAATGCCTGACATTTTCCCCCAAATCAACAAATATTTAAAGTCAACAACCAATGAAGTTTGTTAATTGAAAAGCATCTAACTGGAACTGAACTCTCTGAAGAGAATGAGCATGTTTCCCCCTCCATGGCACTGTACATTAAAAAAAGAGGATAAAATTAAAACTATTAAGAACTCCTAATAGAAAAAATTAAAATAAATGATGAGATAATGACAATAGAAAATAACTTTATGAAGAAACTCAGTAACAATAGCTGGTAAAAAGCCATGATAAACTTCCTCTTACCCTGATGAGTTAAATTATGACTTCATTGTGTTGTTTCCCTTCAGATATAGAATTCTATCAATTATCATTCATTGCAAAAGTTAATTCTTACTATATTGGGATTCTTACCAGAGAAGAACTTCACTCATTTTTTATTTGTCAAACAGTGCAAAAAAACTTCTTTACTTACATCAACTAGTTCTGGGATTATGGGAATTACTATTTCTATACAACATCAGCATCCTTCTCACAATGAACTACCATACTCTCTTTCAAAAGCTATCAAATAAATAATATGAACTGAAGCTTGATTTTTTTCATTGATTCCAAATAGGTCATCACTTGTCAAATATCTTTGGATTAGTTTCGTCATCTGCCCATTAAATCCTATGTTGCATATTTTACCCATTCTCTTCTCATCTCCATCTCCAAGCTGACTGCTCTTTCTATAGACAAAGAATTTTATACACACTATTATTTTTAAGTGTATCACACAAACTTTTTCAACTTACTTTTCTAAAATATCCCTTTCTTGTTACAAAACATCTTGTCCTTTCCTGATTTTTACAATAACTAGTCCCCCTTTCTAATACTAACTTCTTAAACCCTGCTTGCAAATACATCCTCAGTTTCCAGCCTCACTCCTCCACTGATTCCTTCTCCTCTGCCTTCCAGGACCAATAAGTCTTCACTTGATCCTAACCCTGTCCACTAGCAAGTCATCAGCCCCACTTTCCCTATGATGCTTCCAATCCTTCAAATGTTCCCTAACACCTCTAACCTGTTCTAACACCTTGTCAAGGCATTCAAGATCTGCATCAGGTTGACCTTAAATGGTTTTACCATACTATTCCCCAAAACGTTATCTTTACTTCTGATAGCCTTATTTAAGAAACTTACCTTTCTTGAATAAGGGCAAATTTAACTTGCCCGATTTTTGACAGTGCTATGGGTCACCTTCTCTCTTCACCTGCCTGATTTTCAAGTTGGGCTTACACTCTATTTTCACTGTGAAGCTTCTTTTATGGCCCTAGATCACACTGACTCTGCCTTTTTCTGATTCCCTATAGTTTTCACAAACCAACTCCTAGTTCAAGACTCAATTAAAAAATTACTCTTCATTTACATTGGCATCCTCTCCTTTGAGAAACCAAAATAAACAATCAGCCAAGAAGTTACCATTTACTGATCACTGACTTGTCACTCTCTTGGGCCAAGGGAATATAAGAATGAATATTTCTTTTATTTACTCACAGCTCTTAATACAACGCACCTCTCAGATAATAAAAATAATCAATAAAAGAGCAAAATATCACCAATAGATCGGCTATTATAAATGACTACCATTCCAAAGACACTGTAGAGTTGTTTTATATATATATATATATACACATACACACACAGATAATACCATGCAAAAGGTCATGCAGGAACTAGATTTGTATGATTGCAAATTAAAAGATGCTTGCTCCTTGGAAGAAAAGTTATTACCAACCTAGAGAGCATATTAAAAAGCAGAGACATTACTTTGCCGACAAAGGTCCATCTAGTCAAAGCTATGGTTTTTCCAGTAGTCATGAGTGGATGTGAGAATTGGACTATAAAAAAAGCTGAGCGCTGAAGAATTGATGCTTCTGAACTGTGGTGTTGGAGAAGACTCTTGAGAGTCCCTTGCACTGCAAGGAGATCCAACCAGTCCATTCTAAAGGAAATCAGTCCTGAATATTCATTGGAAGGACTGATGCTGAAGCTGAAACTCCAATACTTTGGCCACCTGATGTGAAGAACTGACTCACTGGAAAAGACCCTGATGCTGGGAAAGATTGAAGGTGGGAGAAGGGGACAACAGAGGATGAGATGGTTGAATGGCATCACCGACTCAATGGACGTGAGTTTGAGTAAACTCCAGGAGTTGGTGATGGACAGGGAGGCCGGGCGTTTTGCAGCCCATGGGGTCACAAAGAGTCAGACATGACTGAGCCACTGAACTGAACTGAACTGAATCCTAGGAGTTGAATATTTTGAAAGTAGATACACTAATTTTAAAATCACATTTACTAAAACATACATTTCAATGTTCACACTGTTGCCAGTACATCTGACAAGCAGATAGAAATCTATGATTTACAATCACATGAACAACACACTATTAACAATTACCGATATCCAAGGTATTCCAATTCTAAAAATACATCTTACAAGGAAATAAAAAACTTGAATATCAAACATGTACAAGCAAAGAAGGAAAACAAAACAACAGCTTGAGAACATACACACGTTCCTAAACATGTTGGTTGTTCCATTAGTTAAACATTAAAATTATTGTATAACCTACTATTTTCAAAGCATATATCTTAAAACTCTATGTTCTACATACCTGTCCAGTCTCCTACTATCTTAAGGTGGACCCCAAATGTTGCTTTGGTTTCAGTAGGACACTAAAAAAACAAATAAATACTGGAATCAATTCTGAATAATAATTATGTATTACCAGACTGTGATTCAATTACTACTTTTATTCTCATAGCATATCTCCAAAATCAATAGAAAATAGGAAGGAATGGACTAAAAATCTATACAGATCCTTATTAGTGGGAGAAAAATAAAGCAATGCCAAGCAGTCAATAAGACAATACCCATTTCTCTAAACACCCATACATATTTATATAAAACAAACAATACACATAGCCTAAAACTGCTAGTGTATCTAATCACAAATCTTGCTTAAGTATCCTCTGAGTTGAAATATTTATGAGGACACAGCTTTTAACCATGAAGGAAGAAATGGAGACTAATGATTTTAGTGTCTTTTTCTTCACAGATATTATTATACATTTCACATCCTAATAAATTCCAGTGAAATGAAAAAAAAATTTATCAGTGTGACCTGAATTCATTATGTCCAGTGAAGGAACTCCTACGGAAAGAGTTTTATTTCACTCTCTCCCTTAATTCTCAAAAAAATCTAGAGTAAAATGGTAAGGGTACCTGGGAAAAGGGAGTGAACTGTGGTACTGGAGGTAAGCCAAGTATCTGTGGTCCCATGTTTAGGAAATATAGAAAATAGCCACATAGCAAAAATGAGAGAATAATTTTCAGTTCACAATAAGAAAATGCAGAATCTCCTTTTAAGAATCCCAATCTCTTTCCACAATTCTAAAATTCAAAATTTCTCAAAAATGAGTTTTTTTAATGACCCATTTGGTGGTACTATCCAACTGAATTGATGGGAAGGTAAAGATGTGAGGTTAATGAAATTTTATACAGAAGTACTTTCCTAATGAAATACCCATTTGTTTAAGAATGCTGCCTCATATCCTGTTAAAGATCTTATGTAATATATTAAATATGTATACTTTTTATTTTTTAAAAAGCCTCGAAATTCTGAATTCTGAAAATACATCTAACGTAAGAGTTATGGGTAAGGGATCATGTGCATGTGACTACACAGCATTCATTGAGTACCATGGGCCAAAGGCACTGCCAAGTTCACTTCTAAAAGCTCATGATAACTCTGGTGAGTTGTCTTTTATAGTTAAGAAAATTGAGCAGAGTAGATCCAAGACAGAGTTTGGATCCAGGTGTGTCTGACTATACACTTAACTGTGGCAGACCACTGTCTCCACTAAAACAAAGATATGGAAAAGGGGTAAGGATTGCATGAGAAATCAAATGGAGTAGAAGGAAAAAAAGGATTTGTTGAAGATGAGTAGAATCAATGTGTTGTTGTTTAGTCAATAAGTCCTGCCCAACTGTGACCCCACGGACTGTAGTCTGCCAGGCTCCTCTGTCCATGGGATTCCCAGGCAAGAGTACTGGAGTGGGTTGCCATTTCCTTCTCCAGGGCATTTTCCCAACCCCGGGACTAAACCTTGGTCTCCTGCGCTTCTCCTGCATTGCAGGTGAATTCTTTACAGCTGAGCTACTGGAGAAGCCCTTAGAATCAATGTACAACAATATAAATTAAAGAAAAATATGGGCTGAAGTTAAAGCACAGATGAAAGAAAATGGCAGAGGCTCTGAGGGCCCCGTAATACAGAATGGGTTACATGAAGCAAGTTGAAAATCCTCAAGCTCACTGTGCTGACCAATTAATAGGTCTCACAGGGATGCTCTAGGGAAAAGAAATAAAGGAAGGCGAAGACACCATGGAGATATGTAAAAAGTCATCAAAGAACGATAGATTGGAAGTCATTGAAAACATTAAATAAATAGTTAGGTATTAATGATCTGTTCATGACAAATTATAAACTAAAAAGCACATGTTCAGAGTTGAGATCTACTGTAACATAGAATTTCCAAGCCATAAATTTGACAGTTGGTGTTTCTAATAGGATTATTACTATGAATTGTAGTTTAAAATACTGAGACACATCAAAATATTATAAAAATTATACTTTTTAAACATTATTGATACTATTAAAATGATCTTATTCTATTTATAATTTTGACTCTAATATTTAATTATTTAAATTACATTCTAGTTTTTAATAACTCCAATCAGCTTTGTCATTAGTAAATCTCCAAACAAAATGATGTGATCTGTAAAGACCACCCACCACTTTGGCTTCACACTACTTAATGCTGGCCAGAGCCTCCATGGAGTAAAAGCTGTAGCTGCCAGAAAGCAAGGCTCTCAGCAGAGTTCTAGGCTACCAATCTGACGGTCCACACGTCTCCTGATGTTTCCCCTGCTGTGAATTAAATCTCAGGTTATGAAAAGAAGACCTAAGCCAAGAAGACAGAACAGGGAGCAACAAAGTTAGTCTTTGGATGTCTGAGTGCGCATCTGGCTTGATTTAAGCTTATAATGTATGCTAAAGGAAATGTGTATTTTGCCAAATATTCACTATCTCTGTTCTATTCTTTCAGTGCAGACCCTGTGAATGATAACTACATATGATTTTAACACTCCCTCATGTCTTGTAGTAGCCTTTAAACCTGCCTCTTCTAATTGCTGGCCAAATGCATCAGGATAGCTTTAAAAGCTGATCTAGTTGTAAATAGAGGAAACTCAATATTGTTTCTCCCCAACTCTTGGGAATAATGCCTTTATAAATCACTGATACTTCCTCAAACTTGCGAGGAATTAAGAAGATAGATTTTAACAGTCTTTTCCCAATTACATCACCCCAAATTTGAAGGAGGCCAGAACAGAATAGCACACAGAATGACTTCAGCATGTGTGTTTTGAAACAATGACTGAAAATTTTAGAATCACATGTTAGTAGCTCTCCACAAATAATGTTCGGATTCATTGATGTTGTCTAAAGCAGTGTAGAGATTCTTTTTTTTTTTAATTAAAAAAAATTTTTTTTTTTTATTAGTTGGAGGCTAATTACTTTACAATATTGTAGTGGTTCTTGTCATACATTGACATGAATCAGCCATTGTTTAACTGTCTTTTTAAAGCTGCTTAGAAAACTTCTGAAAGGGAATAAATAATATTCATATCTATGGTTGTCTTCTCTTAGCACATTATTAAGAAATATGGTAATGACAAATTTTTAGTTAAAAACATCGAAGGGAAATATGTGTAATAAAGCTCACACTATTAAAATAAAAACAGACATTACTATTCTTCCTCAATACACAGAAATACATTGATAAGAATATAGAGTACATTTTAAGAATATTAACTCCTGGGAGGTAAAATTGAAGACAGAGAAAATAACTCATTTCATACACATTTATTTAAAAATTATGCTTTCTAATGTTTATGATTTTAAATATTTTAAAAGTTTAATTTAAAATATAAACATCAAAGCATTGGTGAGCCTTACTTCAGTCTCACTTAAGTTTCCCAGGTGAAGAGAATGGAGTATGGCTGATGTTGACCTTAATGTAAGTAGTAGAATAGTCATCACCTAGTTTAAGGAGAAGCAGATAAAGTGACAGAATTTGCAACGACAGCCCTGGAGGCATGTGTGTTTTGATATCCTGGAGAAAAACAACCCTTTTCTTCAAATTATTTGTTCAAAATGGCATTGGGTTTCTAATGTGCTCAAATGACTAATGATTTTATAACTGCCCCACAAAAATATAAACTGATATTACATAATCATCTTACATTTGAGAACAAAATGTAAAAATGATGTCACTGCAGAAGAATTTATCCAACATGGAAAAGAAATTTAAAAGCCACAATGGGGTTTCTTTTTAAATCAAGAGATTTGCAATAAAAAATAAAAATAATTCTAAAATACATATTATAGTAAGCATTACATTTTTAATGTAACAAATATCTTAAACCAGAGAAAATGATCAGAGAATATGATGTTCTTTAATCATTACTGTCACATCTTTATTTTTAAATCTCTTTTCCAAAGCTCCAGCTTCATATTTTCTATGCCTGCTAGATAATTTCCACCTGAAATTCACTCTCAATTGTAACACATCCAAAATCACTATTATCTTATTTTCCAAATTATCTTTTTCTAATTCCCATAAAGCTGGACATAGAACCTACATCCTACCAGAAAAGAGGTTCAAATCTCACAGTAATGCTAGGTATCTCTCTTCCCGCCAGAATTCAATAAACTTTCAAGTTCTTTCAAATCATATTACGAAAGAAAAGGTCTGATCATAGCACTCTCCTATTGATTAACCTTTTGTATCCTTCTATAGGAAAATACATTTTATAGGCTTCCATGGTGGCTAAGGTGATGAAGAATCTGCCTGCAGTGCATGAGACCTGGGTTTAGTCCCTGGGTAGGGAAGATCCCCTGGAGAAGGGAATAGCAACCCACTCCAGTATTCTTGCCTAGAGAATTCCACAGACAGTGGACTACACACCTTCATAGGAAAATCCACATACTCTTTCTTTCCTATAGTCTATGATCAACCACATTTGTTCCAAACCCTTTCCAGTTTTATATTCTATTGTTCCTCTTTGATTCACTCTAATCCAGCTAAACCAACATGGATCAACTACTATATTTTCTTGTCTCTTCATTTCCCCACATACTATTAAGAATGACTTCATTCCCATTTCTCATACTGAATACTAGCAATTCTTTAAGACTTATCTCAAAGGCCACCACTTTCATGAAGAAATCTCGTTTTCCCATGCTACAAAAATTCTGAACTTCCCTGAAATTCTAAATTACTTGACTTTTACATGCTTTGATTCCACTTCTTTAATTTTGCGTAATTTTTTTCTGGTATTAATAGATTTAAGTGTCTTGAGATCAAGAACTATTTCTAAATCATTATATATTCCACAGCATCTTATGCTTAGCAGATATGCATTCAAGTATCAGTTAATGAAACACTGGAGAATTAACCTGAGAGTGAATGAGGACTTCAACAATGGGCGATTCTTCTAAAATTTATTCAAACATTCAACATATGTTTTAAGTATTAAAAAGTTATAGGAGCTCCTGTAATTTCACAAATGAGGACTGTTCTAAAAGTAAAACAGGAGATAAGGAGCCAG